TCCCTCCCCAAGTATGACCCTGATCGCACCCATCTTCCCTGCACAAGCGCAACCATGATCGCGCCCAGCTCCCCACTGAGTACACCTGCACCAGCTCAAAGCTTTTGGACTCGCTCAGCGATAGTTTTCTCTGAGCGAGTCCAAAACCTTTGCAGCAGACCAGATAAATAGGCTTGGCGGGCTGGATCCAGCCCACGGGCCATAGTTTGAGGACCCAGTAGAAGTACAAATGGACATTGGGTGCACCTTTCTTGAAGTCTGAGCATAATTATTTTTTAGTACTGATAGTAAGTTGTTATATGCTAACCTCTGGGGATGTATGCTTTGTTCTTAGTTTGTTACTGTTGCTGGTTATTTGTGCCTTTTTTTAAAAGGAGTTTATGAATAATAACAATAAAATAGTGATGATGGTGATGCACAAATCAATAGATAGAACCTTCACTGGTTAAATCATGCAATGATTGGCACATGACCAGGCAGAGAAAAAGCCTCTTTGCTAGAAATCAGTGTGTGCATCCTTGAAATGTGGCTGACCATGACCAGGCCCTAGTACAGAGAAAGCCAGTTGGCTTGGCAGATAAGAGCCGCTCCAACAAGGGCAAGTCACAGCAACCCACCCCTTCCTCCTCCTCTTCTCTGGAATAGTGCCCGGAGCATCTTCTTTGGCATGCAAGCGGGAAAGATCAGTCCACCGCAACTTTTTGCTTCTGTAACCTTTAAGTCCCAGAGGAGATCAGCCCTGGCTGCGCTTTAGAAGGCCAGACCCTGAAGGTGAAACTCAGATACTTTGGCCACGTCAAGAGAAGGAAGGACTCCCTGGAGAAGAGCCTCATGCTGGGAACAATTGACGGCAAAAGGAGAAGGGGAGGGCAGAGGATGAGGTGGCTGGATGGGGTCACTGGGGCAGTTCGTGTGAGCCTAGATGGGGATGGGGTCACCATCTGGGGGATGGTGGAAGACAGGAAGGCCTGGAGGAATGTTGTCCACAGGGTTGTGATGGGTCAACAACAAATCTGTTGGAAGGTTTTAACTGTGATACGTGTAACCCTTTAATGATCAATGCATAAAAGGGCCAGTTGAGGACTGCTCGGGCACACCATCTGGAGTGATTTGTTGGCAGCCAGTTATTCGCAGGAATAAATCCTTTAAAAGAAACCATTCCCCTGTTGTGCATTTTGGGCATACACACACCAGGATACAGATCCTTTTGTTGCCAGTTGCAGCACCCCAAAACACCCCAAAAGTAATTGGCCAGAGGAAGGCCCCAAAAGTAGTTGGCCTGAGGAAGGCCACATAGTAAAAATACCATAGTTATACTGTCCCAGAAGGGAGGGCGGATATGAACAAAATGAACTTTGTGTAACCCACAGCTAATACGCCAGCCTGACCTTGAATGCAGTAATCAGAGGGGCAGTGGAAACTGGTTCTAGCCACCATGACAGTTGCAAATGTGCAGGGAGTAAGAGCATGGCAAGCCCGTGTGAATCTCGAGCAAATAAGAAACAGGCATGGGAAACGTCCGGTCCTTGACAGAAGAAAAGACTCTTTGGAGCTAACAGCAGTGGGGGTGTGGCTACATTGAGGTATTGATGCATTAGAAATGTATTGGGTGACTGAATTGGCTACCTAGGGTATAAAATGCATGTACCGGGTGCAGCTTTCGAGACACTGCTTTGGGCCGAATGCCCCCTTTTGTCTCCCTTTATTCTATACTGCACTAGAATAAAGCTGATTTTGGCTCCAAGTCTGGTCTCAGGCTCCTTTTGACTCGGGTCTGGGGTCCACCCGGGCTTGCCCTAGCTGTTGACTGGCTGAGTTCAGTAACACTTTGGTCAACAAGGATGATGATGCTGCACAAAGCTTTTGTGGTTTTTGATTTCTATTTATTTAAAGTACACATGCAAAAAATCGTATGATAAACAAAATAAAATACACAAAAGAAAATATAAAAAAGCAAATCATCATTAGTGCACCCCTCCACTGAGACTATGGCTGTCTAGTATTTTTTTAATCTCATTTTTCCACTCGTCCATCCAAAACTGCAATACATCCACTGGAAGTTTAGTACCCTCCCCTTTTATTTATACACATCCAATAAGAACTCATATACCACTGATTGGTTCAAAATTGAGAAAGGAGTTTGGCAAGGCTGTATACTGTCGCCCTGCCTATTTAACTTATATGCAGAGCACATCATGAGAAAGGCGGGGATGGATGAATCACCAGTTGGAATTAAGATTGCTGGGAGAAATATCAACAACCTCAGATATGCAGATGATACCACTCTCATGGCAGAAAGTGAAGAGGAACTCAAGAGTCTCTCTAGCAAGCTTGTCTGGAAGACTTTAAACTGAGCTGGGGGGGGGGCAGGTTCGGACCCCCCAGAAACGTGTCTGCACTGGACAAGTGTGGGGGGAGGATCAGGGCTCTGGGAGCAGGGTTTTAGAGGTACTGCAGGGACAGGACTCCTTCAGAGAGGGGCCAGGTACCAGGAAGGATGGGAGGAAGGAGGAGGCTGGGAACTCCAAGGAA